GAAATCTGATCACTACAACAGACTATGCCTGCAGGACATCAGAGAACTGTGAACCTAACCCAAAACTGGATCAAATCCAAACAAAAACTCCAGTACTAGGTCTTAAGGCATATACATTGAAGTGTGCTCTTTACAAAGACTCAGTTAGTATGTAGAAAGTCAGAAAAAATTAAGAGTTTAAATCATAACCCTATACCATCTGTCTGCAGAAGGAGGAATCCAATCAACTGGGATAATGTGCAGTGTCTTCACACTGCTTTTTTGCAGCAAAACACTGACATGTATGCCAAACAAAATAATTAGCAATGTGTAATCCATAACAAAAGATCAACATAATCCAAAAAAGGCTGAGCTCAAAATCTATAGCACGAAGGCCTATACCATACAGTTATATTGAAAATACACTGACTTTGTGTGCAAGGTTATACAATAATTCTTTGCTTGTTTAGTGTAAAATTGTGACAAAAGTTATCCTTCATTTCTTGAGAAGAAATTGTGCAAATGCATTGGTGCTCTCTGTTAACCCTGATTACCTCTCTCACTCCTGTGGAAACTAATGGCACTTGGAGAGAAAGACAGGTCTGTAACCATAGAGATGGCAACAGCAGCAAGAGCACAAGATATCTGTATTAACTAATAAGTTCACAATAAAAGTCTTGTGTATCACATGTAGACACCGCCTCCTCCCCACTCCCAATTTGCACATATTTCAGGCTATTGCTAGCTCTGAATTTGCAGATTCTCCTGCTGTTTCTTACACTGCTGATTCTGTCACTTCTGCAGAAAAAATGTATTCTCGCTAGTTGCTGAGGTAAGAATGTACCAATATTTACAGACAGAAGTTTCCTTTCCCTTGTTCACAAAATACTCTTCTCAACATGTTTCTGTAGTGTGACATGAAAAGACACATTCTACATTTAAAACAAATATAATATGCATAGCCACCAACAAAATGGTTCTTCATATCATGTAAACCGAACCTCCACCGTGGTGCTAGGTTTTGCCTCCAGTAGGGTATTTGTACTTGTTATGGCAATGCTTATGATAGTTCCTGTAACATAGAACTAAATATGGGTAACATAATATTGAAATATTCAATAGGCATCACTTACAGCTCCTAGTACATACAAATATTACAGATACAGGCACTTCAGTGTCTAGGCTAATATTAAGCTATTCAGTTACAAACAAGAGCAGACTTCCATTAATGTGACACACATCAAAAGGCCCCAATTAAGATCAACTCTGAGACGTTTATACCCTCAGGTCACATACTAGGGTATAGTGATGACATGATGAATGTCCGCTGCGTACTAACTGTTAAACTTAACAACATGAACAGGAGCCATAGAACCTTCAGAAGACTCAGAAAAAGTATAGCAGGAAACAAGTATAGCATTGGAAAAAAACAATAATAGATAGTAGCAAAGCCAGTAGGAGGTGGCATGATGGCTTGGTGGTTGACACTGCTGACTCACAGTACCAGGAACCTGGTTTCGATTCCACCCTCAGGCGACTGAGTGGAGTTTGCACGTTCTGCCCATGTCTGTGTGATGCGGTAGGGGGAGAGTCTGGGTGGGATCTCTTCGGAGGGCTGGTGGACACTCGATGGGCCAGGCGGCCTGCTTCTATATTGTAGGGATTCTAAGAAAAGAAGAGGCAATAGCACAATCTGCAACCTGGCCTGGCTTATCCCTCAATAAACCATTAAAATCAACCCAGGGAATCAAACCCTGGGGTTCAGTGAAGAGCGCAGGAGAGTATGCTAGGAGCAGCACCTGGCATTCCTAAAAATGCAGGTTGACTTGGTGAACCTACCAAACAGAACTATTTATGTGCCAAACAGCATGAGCAGCAAGGGGTAGACAGAGCAAAATGATTCCCATAATCAACAGATCAAATCTAAGCTCTGCAGTCCTGCTATATTCAATCGTGAATGGTGATGGACAATGAAACAACTGACTGGAGGAGGAGGCTCCACAGATATACCCATCCTCAGTGATGAAAGAACCCGACACATCAGTGCAGAAGATAAAGCTGAAGTATTCTCAGCAATCTTCAGAAGTGCTGGCCTCCTCCTATGTCCCCAGCATCATAGATATCAGTCTAAGCCCACTCCATGTGACATCAGGAAATGGTTGGAGGAACTGGATACTGCAAAGGCTATGGGTCCTGACAACATTTTAGCAATAATACTGAAGACTTGAGCTCCAGAACTTGCTGCTCCCTTAGCCAAGCTCTTCCAGTACAGCTGCAACACTACCATCTACACAACTGTGTGAAAAGTTGCCCAGGTATGGCCTGTACACAAAAAGCAGGACAAATCCAGCCAAGCCATCAGTATGATGATGGTCATCAGTGAAGTGACGGAAGCTGTCATCATCAGTGCTATCAAGTAGTATTTGCTCAGTAATAATCTGCTCAGTGACGCCCAGTTTTGGTGTTCCAGGGCCACTCCGCTCCTGACTTCATTACAGCCTTGGTTCAAACATGGACAAAAGATTTGAATACCTGAGGTGAGGTGAGAGTGGCAACCCTTGATATCAAGGCAACTTGAGGAAATCTCTCCACTGGTTGGAATCATACCTGGCACATCAGAAGATGGTTCTGATTTTTGGAGTTCAGTCATCTCAGCTCCAGGACATCTTTGCAGGAGTTCCTCAGGGTGGCGTCCTAGGTCCAACCATCATCAGCTCCTTCATCAGTGACCTTCTCTTCATCATAAGGTCAGAAGTGGGGATGTTTGCTGATGATTGCACAATATCCAGCACCATGCACAACTCCTCAGATACTGAAGCGGTCCATATTCAAAGGCAACAAAATCTGGCCAATATCCAGGCTTGGGTTGATTAGTGGCAAGTAACATTCCTACCACACAACTGCCAGGCAGTGACCATCTCAAATAACAGACACTCTAATATTGACATTCAACGGTATTGCCAAAACTGAATCCCAATATCAACATCCTGGGGGTTACCATTGACTTGAAACTCAACTGGACTCGTCACATAAACACAATGGCTACAAGAGCAGGTCAGAAGCTCAGAATACTGTAGCAAGTAACTCACCTCCTGACTTCCCAAAGCCTGTCCACTATCTACAAGGCACAAGTCAGGAGCGTGATGCAATACTCCCCACTTGCCTGGATGAGTACAGCTCCAAAAACACTCAAGAGACTTGGCATTACCCAGGACAAAGCAAGCCTGCTTGAGTGACACCACATCCACAACCATCCATTTCCTCCACCACTGACACTCAGTAGCAACAATGTGCACTATTTACAAGAAGCAGTGCAGAAAAATTCACCAAAGATCCTTAGACAGCGCTTTTCAAGCCTACATCCACTTTCATCTAGAAGGACAAGGGCAGTAGATACGTGGCAACATCCAAGTTCCCCTCTAAGCCTCTCACTAACCTGACTCAGAAATATATTGTTTTGAAATATATACTCCTCTAATTTGGTAAAATTCCTGGAATTCCCTAAGGGCATTGTGGTCAACCTACAGCAAACAGACTGCAGCAGTTCAAGAAGTCAGCTCACCACCACCTTCTCAAAGGCAGCTAGGGATAGGCAATGAATGCTGGCCAGCCAGTGATGCCTACGTGCCACAAGTGAATTTTTAAAAAAAGAATCTGTAATGTAGGCCACCTCTTATTTTTAAGCTATGATCCCTGGATTCTAGATTGTCCCACAAGATGAGTCATCCTTCAGATTTGCAGCATAGAGCTAGCTTCATAAAAGTACAAGACATCTTTAATAACTGATAACTTCAACTTAATTTCTTCTGTACTATGTGTGCCTTTCCCATTCCCAATTTTCTCATTCCTTGTGCTTTTGTCAACATTTGAGCTGCGATTTCTTATACTTCATAACCATCAGAAAGATTTTAGTCAGGTAGTTAAACTCAGCATATACCAGTGTCTACAGCAGCCAAACATGGATGTATATACTTGCCTCTAATATATTAAAAAAAAGTTCACATTTATAAAGCACATTTCAGAAACCCACATTATCTCAAAGTACTTAACAGTCAATTAAGTATTTCTGAAGTGTAGTCACTGTTGTACAAACAAGAGTGCTTTAAATCCTACCTTTAAAAAACGTGGACAGCATCCCCCATTTGATTACATCCCTGTCTACAACTCAGCTTCATATACCCCAAACCAAATCTCTAATCTCCTTCCTGTACCACATCAACCTCTCACGGTAGAGGGCTGCTGTAAAGTGAGCAAAGCCCAATTTTCATTCAGGCTTTCTGGGTGTTAATTCCAGTTTGATGGAAATGAGACTCAAGGCCCCATTTTGACACATCTCAGTTTCCACCATTCAGGAGAGTGAATTAATCTCCCTGTTTCCATCTAACTAAATTCCTGGCCTTACTGTCAGTATGAATGGTGTGGCTGGCTTATGTGCACGGGATTTGTAAAGTAGGAGTTGAGGCCTGACCTGAGTACAGAATAAATGGATGAGACTCCCTGAAGAAGAATTTTTATCATATTTCTTTTTGACCTTAATTAGTGCCTTGTGTCAAAAACGTGGGAAAAGTATCACAGCATTCTCTGGATAGCCTGGCACCACTTGCAAAGGCAGTGTTTCAGCTCACAGCAACCACACATTTAAAATGGAACTATTAATAAAAAAGAACTCTGTACATGAAGGTATGTATGTATGTATGTACGCAGAAAGCTTTCACATGGGGAGTACAATCAGTCTCCCTGAAGCAATGTAAACAAGGTATTTGGCTGAATCCGAAATTGGAGCTTCCAGTCTCATACTGCTGTGAGAATGTGCTCTTGTTGGGAAATTCATTCCAACCCAGGAGGAATCCCTTCCACTGCAGCGGTCTATGTGTGTAATGCCCATAAATTTAAATATTAGGAACTTGGAATTTGTCATCCTTATTAAAATGCTTCATCAATATTTATTCTTCCCACATGTTTTTTTATTTGTTTAAGATAATGCATCAACAATAAACTTCTTGATTTTTTTCTTGATTCAGCAGTGCCAACAAATACATCATACTGATTTTCTTTAAGACAATACCTCTGGTGCTGTGTTATTGATGGTTTCCAGGGAAATGAGCAGAGGCTTTGTAAGCCTTTGGCATCATTACCACGTTGCTGTCACTCACAAAGAAGTCTGACTTCCGTTATATCTCAGGCGCAACAGGATTTGCTGAACTAGTCATTTACCATAAGAAATATCACTTCAAGACAACTCATTTCAGCATCAGGTGACTTTACTTTGAATGATGTTCTTGTGCTGTTGATAAAAGTCATTAAATGTTACAACTGCTCTAATCCCAAAATAATAGATGTATTAAGGTAGAAATTTCAATCAGTGAATGGAATGATAACAGTCTTGAGGTACTTATGCTATGTTCCTATACATACTACTTCTAAGCAATTGTTAATGTTTTCAAAGTAAATGGATTTGTGTCTGTGTAAAAATAATTAACACAAGAACACTGTATGAACACACAAAGCATTTACATGTAAATTTTGCTAATTGGAAATTCTCATTTATTAATATGAAGTTTTTTGAGTGACATTTTCACGGATGTAAACTGCAAATACACACTTCATTGGAGTCTATGGGACTAAATGAGGAAGAGGATTAGAAAACTGTTCATTCACTTAAGTATGTGTTCAAATTTTAGCTAAATTTATGGAATAAAAATATTTTTGCTGATTCAAAGGATTTTATGTGAAATGTATTTGGACCTCCTCACTTTCTTTATGGGCATGGATCTGGAGGAAAATAATGCCACTGTCTTGACACAAAATTGTCATTTTTTTTCTCAGCAGCCACAGACTGACCTATGATCAAAACAGAAAAAATATTGATGCACAGAAGACACATTTTGGTGATAGAATTCCAAAGATTTTACTCTGCGAATGGTATTTCCCTAGACATTGTTGACAGTGCAATTAGACACTCTCAATCAATAAGACATTCAACACAATAAGCAGAACATTCAACTAAAATGAAGCATGTAACGGGGCAGTCTTTTTGTTGTTTTGGTTGATGTCAGACTGAAATATGTGAAAAACCATTCTAACCAATATTAATGAGATGTGAATCAGCATTGGCGTGATTACTTAATTTCAAGCAGGAAATGAGATGTGCATTCATGTTTGCTGTTTAAAATGGGTGAATATAGCTTTGTAGTTTCTAAGATGACATCATTTAGCAACCAAAAAGGAAGTAACCTCACAACTTCCAGCATGAGCTTTTAGTTTGTGATAGATGAAATTGTTGTTATTTTTGTTCAAGTCATTATTTTGGGCGGTCTTTGTATTAAAAGTTTGGCAGCAAAGTTAATCACTACTACAATTAAAATGTTAACTGTTTTCTTTGTCTAATATATCCATAAAGAAGCTGGATTAAAGAATGAATGAATCTGAAGTAGTTTGACCACATCATATACAGACTTTTTTGACCTAAGAGAAAAAGTCTCTGAAAAATAAAATCTAGTATCTGTGGAAAAAATCCAGCAGGAATTGCCTGAAGCAGGGAACTTTCACCTTTAAAGAAAAAGACTGAAATAAATATTTGAAGCAAAGAGATGATTCAGATGCAATGGGACAAATAACATCCTTCTGCTCTGTAAGCTTCTATAGAACTATGGTCTTGTTCTTTCAACTGCTGTGAGTTCTTTATGGAAAGAAATCTGCTGTCTCTACATGATTCAACCCATTACAACTGACTTCCTCTGCCAATATTATTAATTCTCAAGAGTCTTTGGAATCGATGTAGCACTCAGTTGATTCAAAACCAGGACTTTGAGAAGAAGTGTCCATCACCTCATCAGGGCAACCCAGGATGGGCAATTCAGGTTTTCCAGTGAGCAATCATCTGGAATTTTTTAAAAATAATACATGTCAGAAAATGTTCAAGGCTTCTTTTTATGAAGAAGTGTTATGATGATGGATCAGAAGCTCTAAGTATTTGTGTGCATTTTTATTTTTAATTCCAATATGTGTTGTTTTTTTTAAAGGACTGCTGTGAAAAAAACTATGAATTTAAATTCATTGATTGTTTGGCAAAGTCCTGTGTGACTCAAGTGAAATGTTGCACATGTAAATTGCCATAGAAACTTCAAACATGAGAGATTTAACAAAAGGAAATAATAAGGCTGTTTGACTACCTCTCTCCTCTCAACAGAATATCAAGTCTTGCAGACATGTCTGTTTTACTCTCCAGGAATACAGAAGAAAAGGGGTTTAAAAGTCTGTTTCAACTCTACTGGAGTTGACTAATAATAGTGAATACTGTTGTATGTATCAGCCTGGGTTTGAGTGTTAATATGTTGTGCTGGTCACAGTCATGGAACTATCCCTTAGTTACCCCTTTGTTGCATGTAAAGACTGTCTAACTCTGAGGACTGCAAACCAATTAAAAAGAAAACAGGATAACACCCTGAATGCTGACATTTAGTTACAGTTGAAAGGCATCAGAAATACAGAATTTCAACCAATTTCCAAACAAAGGATCACAATACTAACCAGCAATGTCAACACTACCTGTAACCCCACAGAAACATTTACAATATTCCACAATTTGCTCTTCACAAACAACTCAGGGACTGATCCGTTTATGTGTAATTAATAGACATATGCTTTTTATTAACTTAAAAAAATCCAATCCTTATAAAACATATGTTCATTTGTGCCTGGTAGAAAAGTATCCACAAAGGAAGGGATCTTTTCTTTAAATTAAACCTTGTTGCTACCAACCAAGGTTGTGGGTGAATAAAGAAGGGGAGCCTGTTCATCCCTCCTCACCGAGGAGCTTAACAGTTTAAGGAATATTGCCTGGAACTGTAATGAATTAGCCTAGTCATTTGGTTTACTTAGCTAGCTACCACCTCCCTCCCTCACACTTATTCACAATAAATGCACCTAGCTCATGGCTGCTCTTTCTGTTTGCAATTGTTGGAATTCTTATGCAGTCTCGTCATTATATGTTATACATATCCAATTTGTTATATGAGCATATGTTGAGATTCATTCCATATACCCATAGCAAAATTATTAATATGTACTGAGCAGTGGAACCTTGGATATTTCAGCCTCTTCAGCAGTCTGAGAAACAGCCATTCTATTTTACATTCATGCGATGTGGACTTGGCTGACTTACCAGCATTTATTGCCCGTGTCTATATTGCACTTGAGAAGGTGGTGGTGAGATGTTTCCTTGAACCACTTGTAGTCCATTTGGTCTAGGTTGACTCAGAATTCTGCCAGGTGGTGCGGTAGCTCAGTGGTTAGCACTGCTACTTCAAAGCAAAAGGGTCCTGGGTTTGATTCCAGCCTTGGGTGACTGTATGAAGTTTGTATGTTCTCTGTGTTTCTGCTGGGTGAAACCAGGTTTCTGCTTTCCTCCCACTGTCACAATGATATGAAGGTTGGGTGAATTAGCCATGGTAAATTCTGGGTGGGATGCTTTTTGGGGGGTGTTTGCAAATCCAATGGCTGAATGGCCTGTTTCTGCACTATACGGATTCTATAAATTCTGTTAGGCATGGTGTTCCGGGATTTTGACCCTGTGACTCTAAAAGAGCAGCAGTGTATTTCCAAGTCAAGATCATGAGTGGCTTCTTCCTTTGTGCTAGATATGCCTCCAATTAGTGCAGAGTTTTTCCCTGATTCCCCCATTGAGATTAATAACTTTTTAAAAAATGCTTAAAATCTTATTGTGCAATTCCTTGAAGTCACCAGGAACTTAAGCTTGACAATTATCCTGTTAAAAAACAAACTAAAAATAACTAAACTTTACTTATTACTCTATTATTACTCTAATAATTATTACTCTAAACTATTAAAACAACAACCTTTGCTCATGCTTTAACATGACAGATAACCCCACACTGGATTACTATAATTTAATACATGCTTTCTGCAGGCTTACAGCTTTTATAAGAAGTAGTCCACAGTCACACACAGTTTCCAATGGACTATAATTTCTGGTGTGCATTGACGCCCCGTGCTCTCAATTTTCTGAGAATTCCCAAAACAACTGCCAGCAATAAAGCCCACAGCAGTGATTTTATTTTCCATTTCACCAATCCAAATTTTTCAGAGCCTTAGATTGCCATGGGATTTGGCTCTGTGAGAAGTTACAGTCTCTGTTTCTGGATTCTGCCTGGTAGCTCTCAGAGAACCAGCAGCCTTCTTCCTTCTGCAGACCACACCAGTTGCACATTTTATTTCTGTGAGATCCCTCTCTTCCTCCTCTCTCTCTTTTTGTCCAAAAATTATGAGACTGAAAGTCTGTCCCCAGTTAAATCAATTGCACCCTGCCTTTGTTTTCCAGTGTGAATATTTACAAACCAGCATTTGAATTAGGAGTAGGTCATTCAGTCTTCCAAGTCTGCTCTGCTATTGGATATGGTCGTGGCTGATCTGATTTCAGCCACAAATCTAATTTCCTCTCTGTTTATGACATCTGATTCTTGGTCAGTAGAGAATCTATCTAACTCAATGTTAAAAATATTCAATAACCCAGCCTCCAATGCTAGGGAAGAGAATTCCACAGATTAATGACCCTCAGTGAAAAAAAAAGTTCTTCCCATTTCCACCTTAATTGAGAGACCCTTTAGTTTTAAATTACGTCTCCTAGATCTAGTCTCTGCCATAATGGAAAAAATCCTCTCAGTATCCACCCTCTCAAGTCCCTCAGGATCTATATGTTTCAATAAATTCCCCTCCCATTCTTCAAACTCCAGTGGATACAGATCCATCCTGTCTGAACTTTCAATTTAAGGTAGCTCCCAGGAAACAGTCAAGTGAATCTTCTTTGAACATATGCTTCTAATACAATTATATCTTTTCTTATGTAGGAAGTCCAAAACTATACATAAGAACAGGAGTGTGCCATTCAGACTGCTGAGTCTGCTCTGCCATTCAATTAGATCATGGCTGGTCATTTATTTCAATGCCACTTTTTGACACATTATGTGGTATTCTAGATATGATCTCATAAGTGCCTTGCGCAGCTATAGCACATTTTTCTTGCTTATAGATGTGATCTCCTTTGTGATAAACAACAACAGTCCATTTGCCTTCCTAAGTACTTGCTGTACCTGTCTGCAAACTTATTAATGTTCATGTACTGGACTATGCACATCTCTCTATGCCACTGAATTCTCCAACACTGTCCATTAAATAGTTTACTGTTTTTCTGTTCTTAGTGCCAAAGCAGACAAGTTCACTTTTTCACGTTTTATAGTCAATATGCCAAAATTTTCCCCATGCCCATAGCCTGCCTATATCTCTTTGCAATCTCCTATGTCCCCTTCACAACTTACTTTTCCACCTAGAGATAGTAAGAACTGCCGGTGCTGGAGTCAGAGATAACACAGGAAAACAGCTTTCCTGCTCCTCTGATGCTGCCTGGCCTGCTGTGTTCCTCCAGCTCCACACTGTGTTATCTCTTACTTTTCCACCTAATTTCTTGCTAATTTAGCAAATTTGCATTAGATTCCTTCATCCTCATCCTCAGCACTGATCCCTGTAGCACTCCATTAGTTACAACATGTCAGTGGTTAATGAATTATCTATTCATGCTATTATGTTACTTATTGCACCATGAGCTCCTATTTTCTACGGTAGCCTTTGATGGTATTTTGCCCTTTTCCATTAATATCATGTGATTCCTTACCCCTATTATTTAATTTAAATCCCTCTCTACCATCCGAGTTATACAGGTCACTAGAACACTGATTCCCGTACAGTTTGGGTACATGGGAACAGGTGTAGGCCATTCAGCCCATCGAGCCTGCCCCAACATTTAATGTAATTATGGTTTATTGAATGCTTCAATGTCTTTCACTAATTCCATCCCAAAATCTCTATAGTTCAAACCAACCTTTGAACTGGGCATTCAAATCCATAATCTTATTTATCCCAATCCAATTTGATTGCTGTTTAAGTAGTAACCAAGGAACTTTGAAGTTCTCCTTTCTTAATTTAGCTCTTAGTTGTTCATTCTCCCTAAGCAGAACTCTTTGCTTGTCCTATCTTTGTCTTTAGTACCTACATGGATGATGACTACTTGATCCATTCCTTCCCAGAGCTAAACTGATGTTCCCAAACCTCAGACCAGGCAGACAACAAGGCTGCTTGGGCTTTCAGTTTTGGCTACATCTCTTGACTATATCATCCCCAACTAGCACTGCTTTTCTATTTATTTTTCCTGCATGAACGCTCCTTGCACTTCTTATGATTAGTTTGTTCATCTGACCTCTAACTCTTACTCTCATCCACTCAAAACACGATAACCTCAAATCCTTTGAACAATTGCAGGGGCTGTGTGCATTCCCTTGCCTTGTTAGCCCTCCAACAATCCTTCACCAAAAAACTTTCCAGGATTAAATTCCATTTGCCACTGTCCAACCATCTGACAAGCCTGTCTATATTATGCTGTTATCCAAGGGCTTCCTGCTCACCTTTTACCATACCACAATTTTTTGTGTTATTGCAAATTTATTCAGCATAACTCCACATTCATGACTAGATCATTGATGTACACAACAAACAACAAGGGACCCAGCAAAGAATCCTGCAGTGCGCAACTGGACACAGGCTTCCAATCACAAAAACAGATTTCGACCATCACCGTCTGCTTCCTGCAGCTAAGCCTATTTTTGATCAAACTTTTTTTATTCATTCATGGGAAGTGGGCATCGCTGACTGGCCAGCAATTATTGCCTGACCCAACTGGATGTGACAGGATTGCAGAGCTTAGATCTGGTCTGTTGGTTGTGGGCTCACTTAGCTCTGTATATCACTAGTTGCTTATACTGTTCGGCATGCAAGTAGTCCTGTTTTGTAGAGCCACCAGGTTGACACCTTAATTTTAGGGGTGTTGCTGCTGCTCCTGGCATGCCCTCCTGCACTTTCCGTTGAACCAGGTTGACCCCCTAGCTTAATGGTAATGTTTGAGTAGGGGATATGCCAGGCCATCAGGTTTCAGATCATGTTGGAGTGCATCCTGATGGCCCATAATGCCTCATGGAGTCTTGAGATACTAGATCGGTTCAAAATGTTCCCACTAAGTACAGTAATAGTGCCACACAACATGATGGATGGGACAATCAATGTGAAGGTAGGACTTCATCTCCAAAAGGACTGTGCGGTGGTCACTCTTACCGATACTGTCATAGACATGCATCTGCAGCCAGCAGATTGGCCAGGATGAAGTCAAGTATGTTTTTCCTTCTTTTTGGTTCCCTCACAACCTGCTATAGACCCAATCTAGCAGCTGTGTCCTTCAGGACTCAACCAGCTTGATCAGTAGTGCTGCTGCTGAGCCACTCTTGTTGGTAAACACTGAAATCCCAC